TGCTTGCTGACTTCCTGGTTTGATGTGTTTGCAATCCTAGACTTTATCCCACGAAGTAATGTAGACTTGTCAAAGGTAACATACCGACTCACCATAAACATAGGGAACTTACAATCAGTACACCACAGCCGATAACCTTTCACCCCATATGCATAGCCTAGAAATATACACTCCGTCACCCTCAACTCAAGTTTACCATCACTCACATGAGCATAACAGGACAACAAAATACTCTTAGTGTAAAGTAATCAACGGGCTTACCAGATCAAACTTCCTCGAGAGTCTTAAATTCAATTGCAATTGATGGAGATCGATTTACCAAGCAGCAAGCCACGTTAATAGCTTTTATCAAAAATACTTTGAGTAGGCCAACATTAGAGAGCATTCATCTTGCTCTTTCCAGAACTGTATTCTTCACCCATTCTACAATACCATTTTAATGTGGTGTTTTGACGATAGTGCGATGTCTAACGATTTTCTTATTCTTGTAGAATAGACCAAACTCACATTTGCAAAATTCCAAACCTTTGTTTGTTCGAAAGTTCTCGATCTCTTTCTTCATCTGCTTCTCGATCAATGCCTTCCAACACAAAAAGGCGATCAACATTTCACTCATAGCCATTAGAAAATACGTTCACACTTTTTCTGAAAAATCATCAATAAAGGTCCATATGTATAATGATCCACCTTTTAATGCTACCGAAGAAGGACCCCACAAATCTGAATGGATGTAGTTTACTGTATTCTTCATTTGAGGAGTTGTAGTGATAAATTTCACTATATGTTGCTCACAAAAATCTAACTTCCTAGTCTTTTGATTATACAGTAAACTACACTTACTCAATTTTCTAATCCATCTCTCACTCATATGATCCAATCTCATATGCTATAAATGTATTACATCATCTTCAAGATCATTAGATGAAACCACAAAATAGTTTCAATGATTGTATTTCCCACTAGAAGATAAAGATCACCAAATAACTTGCCTTTCATGATAGTTAAGGATCCTTTAGATACATTTAAGACCCCATGTTGGCCACTATATTTGTAGCCTTTCTTATCTAACAAACTCAAGAATATCAAATTCCTTTTCATATTCGGGACATGTTTCACTTTAAGTGTTCTTACCATACCATCAAGCATCTTGATCCGAATTGTGCCAATCCCAATAACTAAAAAAGAGAAATCATCTCTTAATTGTACAGTGCCCATATTAACATATTGATAAGTTGTAAACTAATCACGCCTAGGACATATATGAAAGCAACAAGCCAAATCCAAGATCTATGTATCCATTAGGTTACCGTTGGTAATTACAAGAACATTATTAGTTTGCTCAAAAGTATCAAAGTCATCTTCAACCACGTTTGCAGTACTTTTAGACTTATTGATTTTTTCATCATCATTGAATTTGATACAGTCTTGATGAAAGTATTTTTTCTAACTATAATTCCAACAAGTTTTTCCTTGTGCTCTAGATTTACCTTTTCTGTCTATACCCTTCTCTCTATCTTTTCCTCTATTCACAACCAAACTTTCTGCTTAATTTTCATTCCGGATACCACCAACGTTCTTTTTCAATTTTTTGAAATTTAAAGATGCCCTTACATCTTCAAAAGTGAGAGTATCTTGGTCATATAACATAGTATCCACGAAGTTTTCATACGATGGAGGCAAAGAACACAAGAATTAGGGCTAGGTCTTCATCCTTAATTTTAACATCGATATTCTTTAAATCAAGAATAACTCTATTAAATTTATCAATGTGGAGTATACGATCATTGATTCATATAAAGCCGATTCATCAGGGATTTTGTCATATAAATACTTTCAAGTTTATGCCACACTGTAGCAGCAGATTCTTCATTCATGACTTCTCTTAGTACCTCATCAAATAAAGCGAGGAGAATAGCACAATGTGTTTTCTCCATAAGGTCATCTTTTTCACCATCAAATAAATTCGAAGAAAGATTCTCTTTTCCCTTCAATGCCTTCAATAGTCTTTGTTGCACTATCAATGCGTGCATCTTAACACGTCGCAGGCTGAAATTGTTTCTTCCATTAAACATTTCAATCTCATTCTTGGTCGACGAAGTTACCATAGCGAGATTCAGATTGACTCAAGACCTTAAAGCTCTAATACCAGTTTGTTGTGAAAATTGTAGAATTATCTCTAAAGAATTGCCCAAGATCTTACCCAATCAATAGAATAAAGAAAGTAAGAAATCAAGCACACCCACAAGAACACAATAATTTTACAAGCTTTAGTGTTTTGATGACCTACGTCTACGAGCACAGCAACAAAGAAAGATTCGCTAAGAGAAAAATTAAGAGATTACAAGAACAATCTCAAACTCACAACCCTTATCCCACGTACACCTAAAACCACTCTCTCTAAATCTAGGTGATGACTATTCTTTAATCCCATAGGGTCTTTTTATAGTGCCAAATACAATAATCTTAACCTAATACAATTATGATATATTATTCTAGTCTAATTAGATTTAAAGACTATTTTAATAAGGTATACTAGTTTAATTAGAATTAAACAATTCTAATCATACTATAATTCAAGACTATCCTAACAGTACTTAATATGAAATGAATTAAGGTAACACTTAAAAGGACTTGAGATATTTTGCTCTTAATTTAAATTATCCAATAATTGATGAATTTCGCACAAATAACTATTTAATTCCAATTACTACTTATCCAAGGGAGTACACTTAGACCAAACGATGCTTCTCACTTTAACAACTTGTATTTTTTTTTTTTTACATTTGCCATAGCTTTATTGGTTTTATTTTGCTCCCAAAGGAATTTTGCAATTAATTTCACTCAAGAAATTAAAATTATAAAATACCACAAAACTAGATCACCTTTTAAATGTGAGAGTATTTTTATAAATATTTTAAATAAAAAAAACGACATAACTATGCTAAGAACAACATATAATCACAAGATTATAAATATGAAAAAAAGGGTATAAGATGCTAACTGAAAAATTATGAATTCACAAGGGAACAAATATAATTTACTCTTGCAGCGGAGCATTTAATTTATTAATTAGTGTCTTATTTTCTTACTTAAGAAATAAGATTCGAATTCTCCTCTTTCTAATTAAAAAAATATAATTTACTCTTAAATAGTATTTCTGCATTCCGGAAAGCATACACAATAGCTGATACTTTGACCAAATTTGGTGTTGATCTAAGAGAAATGCTTTATACCTGGTGGTAATCTTACTATTTTGATTCGGAGTTTGATTTGGTTTTGAGGGTAAAATTAAAAATCTCTCCTAAAAACACTTTAAAAAGGTGTTGTGACTCTTTTAATTTTAAAATAATATTTTTAACCATTTGATTTTAACACTATTTGTTAACAATTAAAAAAATAGAACTAGTAAGATTCAGACATTTTAATACGCAAACCCTGCTTTGCCTATCTGTTGCCGCCGTATGGTTTCCGTGGTTATCTTCTCAGGCCGTTTCCCCGGTGACAGTGTCCTCGTTGTTTCAGTGTTTCGATATGTGGGATGGGCTGTTAGCCCTTCTTGATTGGATATGTTGGCGGCACTTTGCTGTCTTTTGCTTTGTTTTATGGATTTGTTTTTCCTAATTCTCTCCGGCGGCTGCACCTCTCTTTTGGGAACAGGTTTGCTTTTATGTCTTGAAGCTTGTGTCGGGGTTATCTTGCTTTCTGCTTGCTCTTTGGTGACTTCTCCTTTTTTCCTTTTTTCGTGGTGGAGAGCAGATTGGTTCTGCTTTCTCTCCTTTGATCATTTACTTGATCCTTCCTTGTTTTTACCAAGTTAAGGCGTGAACCTTTTATGATTATAATAAATCTTGTATCATTGATCGAGTTTAAAAAATTAAAAAAGAAAGAAAGAAAGAATAATTTGGTAAGAATGCTGTGAGACTCAATATATGCGAGCCGACCATACGTACTAAATGATTATTAAAGTACATTTCCAACGACTTATTTTGACTGTAAAATTTTGAATGTGTTGTTTTAGTATTTAAGCAGCATTTCACATGTTTAGCAGCTATTCCATATTTAATATAGTTATTATGTTTTATGAAGTGAGGAGTATAAGTAGTAATAATAATTATAATTTTTATAATCGAATTTAATAGACAAATTAAGTAACCAACAATTCAACTTGCTTGACACTAAGTTAAGGCTTCATTGACTTTAATATTGTTTATTAATAATGCAATTTAATATTGTTTACAAGCTCATAATGATTAATTAGCTTCTGACATGCAGGAATAACATGGGATTTTTAGAGAGTTGATATCGTATGTAACAGATGGTAAAGAACATATTCTATTTTCCTGAATTTTTCTAGTTAGATTTGGACTTCAAATCATGCATGGTACGAGTTCAACAAAAAGACATGAGAATGAATGGTACATGATACATTAGGCCCATGCATTATTGCAGAATCTTGTACTAAAAATTAATACACAACAGTTGAAAACAAATGAAACAAGTAGACGATAACCACAGAAAAGAAAAAAAAAAAAAGAAAAAACATATTACTATAGTATTGTCTATCTGTAAGATCATGCAAGTCGTAATATATTTTCATTTAAGCCATATGCCCTACTAAAAGATTCTCTCGGCGGCACCATCTGCTAGGTATCAAACAACCAAATACATAAAATTCAAGTTATATATGTCCATTTGAGAGTTTTTTTTTTAAATAAAAAAAATTATGGGTACCATTCAAGATTTTAGATTATAGTTTTGAACTCATGATTTGAGAAGTTGGATTGGAGATAGAATGCAAATAAACAAATTACCAAAACAAAACAAATAATAGTTTGGTAGCACCAAATGTGTATGTTGAAAGCAAGAAAAACACCTCGATTAAGTTGATCCAATAGGCTTCTGTTCTGTGTTACTATGTATTTGAAATATGCAATCTGAGATCCATCAGCTTACTACTCCAAGTCAAGTCAATTTTATATAATTAGTGAGTCAAGTCAGTCTTTGGCAGCCAAGAAGTTCACACTACAACTTCTCCCCTTTTCCTCCGCACTTTCGTTTCCTTTTTTACGATGCAACAACAACCCCCATTTTGTCCAAAACTATTGAATTAAGTCTTTCTCCTTCTCTCTCTCTCTTTGGAAACTTTCACAAGATTGTGAGAAGGAAGAACCTATCTGTTATTTTCTTCCTATAAATACCACTCTCACTTAACATTTGAGCAAACCAACACTAACGTTTCCCCCTCAACAATCATATTGAAGGCACTCTTATTCCTTATATCTTTCCATCTTCTTAACCACTTGTGTGTCATGGCAACCCCGTCCTTAGTGTTCGCCGTTCATAGGCAGGAACCGGAACTGATCGCTCCAGCTAAGCCTACCCCTCACGAGTACAAACTATTATCCGACATTGATGATCAAGAAGGTCTCCGGTTCCAAATTCCAGTGATCCAATTTTATCAATACAACCCTTCCATGCAAGGGAAGGACCCTGCTAGGGTGATTAGGGAGGCACTTGCACAAACCCTTGTGTTCTATTATCCATTTGCTGGTAGGCTGAGGGAAGGGCCTCAGCGCAAGCTTATGGTGGATTGCACTGGTGAAGGGGTGATGTTTATTGAGGCTGATGCTGATGTTACGCTTGAGCAATTTGGTGATGCACTTCAGCCACCTTTTCCTTGCTTGGAGGACCTCCTTCATGATGTTCCAGGCTCCGCTGGGGTGCTGAATTGCCCATTATTGCTTATTCAGGTATATTTGTCATAAACTTTTATCTATCAGCGCTGAATTAAAAGACCATAGGATTATTTCTCCTGTTCTTAGTAGCTTAGATTCCAAAATAATACGGTCTCATTAAAGTTCTTTAAAAAACAGATAGCAAACAATGTCACTAACCAAACTTTTTACGTTATATTTTTTTACATAACATTTAACCATTGATATTGATTGTCTTTTGGTATTTTTGAATATGTATACATACATTAAATTAACACATGTGGTTACTGATGATATTAGTAGAATATACTTGTAATTTTTTAATTTCCTTCAAAGAAATAGAGTCTCCTGAATAGTTGACGTGGCCATAGATTCAAAAACGGCAAATCATAGAGGTATACTTGTGTGCATACCTATCAAATCATTTCTTTAGCTTAGGTTAGTGGGGTCTCACCAATATTCTTGGCAATTAGGAGAATATTTCCTTTTTATGTGCAAAAGATTAAAAATACGGAAAACTTTAAAAACAGAAATACCGGAGGACATTTGCTTATCATTTGGCATCCGCTCTACAAACAAAAGGGGTATCTATTTTGTTTTTAATCAGGATAATTCTTTTTTAATAAGATTGCAACTGAGATAATTTGACTACTCGTGATAAATAATGAATTTATTAATATTTTTCTTTTCTCATTGATTAATAAACAACCGAAATATTAGAATAATTAAGTAATTTTTCTAAAAAATACTTTTACTTCCTATAGCTAATAATTCCCCGGTCATGACGACATCACCATCTTCAACAGAGGCCATTTTGGAATTATGCTAAAACTCCTGTGTTACAAACGTTCTAGTAGTAATAAAAAACCAAAATAATTTTTAAAAAAATTTATTTTATTTTTAAAACATTTTGTCATGTAAATATGTCCATGTAGAAAGGTGATATGAAATGTCGCATGAAAATTTGTTGTCGGTTAAAAGATTAAAATAATAATGTTTATAAACAGTGATTAAAATATTATTTTTTAATATTAAATTATTAATTTCAAAATTTTTAAAAAGTTAAGGTGCCAAAAAAGATAAATTTATTGTTTTTTCTCTTGAATCTTGAGAAGAGAGAGAGAGAGAAAGAAAAGCAGAAAATACTAAAAAAAAGCTTGCGAATTTGCAATTTCTAGGAAGAAATGATCATTCATGATACAAGTATGGCCCTCCACTTAAATTATAGAAAGCAAAAAAAATCTATATCCACTCTCAAAAAGTTGCTTTTGCCTCACTAATTGCACTAGTCTAGTAGTCATTCATTATTGAGACAATGGGATCCACTTGGTAATTAACAAGTGATAGTTTGACTACCAATGAGAGGAGAAAGTAGCTTTCGGTGATGAATGAAGTTCTTAAAAGACATAAAATGCTTGAAAATTAAGAAATTTGACTGACTGATAGCCAACCTTTTGCACAGTTAAAAGAACACATTCATGTGCCAATTTAAAATATTGTGGTGTTTATATCAACGATTTGGAACCATAAAATCCTTGAAGAGTATAAGGTTTGGCTGCAAATGACCAGTGTCTAAAGATTGGGATCGAGGAACTGGTCCTCAATCACATGAATTGGACAACACAGACACAAGGATAATAATTGAGAGCTCTCCGTCGTTATGCGGAAGTAGCATGACTCGCATGGATTTGCGAAACACGACATCTTTTTCTCAAAGAAATTTGTGTGGTGGAACATTGACCAGCGGCCCACCGATGGGACTGCATTTTTCGCAACTTTAGACACAATCTTTCTATGAGTCATTGTTATTATGAAATTAGAGTTTGACTATTTAATTTGATTTATTTTTTTTGAAATAAATTTGATTTATTCTTCTTATGATTTTGAACATATATAAAGCATAGAAGATTAAATTACGTAGGGAATAGGAATTCAAGATTAAATAATAGATATGTTTTAATCTCAAATGCGTATAAGTTTTGATTTCTAAAACGTTTTTCACAACTCAATCTTAGTATTAAATTTTAAGGTAACAAATTTAGTTGGTTGTTTGTTTATTGCTTTAAAATCTATGAACTACTTAAACTAGAAAAATTTTTAATTAAATCTAATTAGTGTTATGAAACCACTATATATGCTAGCTATAGACATAAACTAAACCATAGTATATTTTACATCTCCATGATTGCTCCATTTTCCGTCAAAATTTAGGTAAACGATGTAAGATGAAAAGATTGCATGAATATGTTGATATGAAATTGAGCTCTTCATAAATCTGGACTACAACTCGATTTGTTCCAATGTGGTCAAAATGAGAAAGCTTAAACAGATATGCATGGTTTCTCCCCCTTAAATTAACAAATAGTAGTGATTAGATTTAATGATCCCGCTATCGAATTAATCAATCTTGGTGAACAGGTAACACGATTGAGATGTGGTGGATTCATCTTCGCCGTCCGCCTCAACCACACCATGAGTGACGCAGCTGGCCTAACCCAATTCATGTCAGCTGTAGGGGAGATGGCTCGCGGCTGGCTTGCCCCATCAATCCCGCCGGTATGGGAAAGACACCTCTTAGGGACAAGAGATCCACCAAGAGTCACATGTAAACATTGGGAGTACGAAGAAGTAGAAGGCACAATTGTTCCCTTCGACGAAATGGCTCATCGTTCCTTTTTCTTTGGCCCCGCGGAACTCTCAGCACTTCGTAAACTTGTTCCCCTACACCTTCGTAAGTGTTCTAGGTTCGAACTCTTAACCGCTTGCTTATGGCGTTGCCGAACCATTGCCATTCAAGCTAATCTCGAAGAAGAGGTTCGTATTATCTGTATCGTGAACGCCCGCTCCAAGTTTAATCCTCCATTGCCTTCAGGATATTACGGGAACGCATTCGCGTTCCCTGTGGCGGTAGCAAAAGCAGGGAAACTCCGTCAAAACCCATTAGGTTATGCCTTAGAACTTGTGAAACAAGCTAAAGCTGATGTAACAGAAGAGTACATGAAATCGCTAGCGGATTTGATGGTGATAAAGGGGCGACCCCATTTTACAGTGGTTCGGTCTTACCTTGTCTCTGATGTGACACGTGCCGGGTTCGGAGATGTGGATTTCGGGTGGGGTAAGGCAGTGTATGGTGGTCCGGCTAAGGGAGGGGTGGGGGCTATTCCTGGGGTCGCAAGCTTCTTGATACCATCTAAAAACAAGAAAGGAGAGGATGGAATTGTGTTGCCAATTACCTTGCCACCCCCGGCAATGGAAATATTTGTGAAAGAGCTTGATGGCATGCTCAAAGAGAAGCCAACTGGGATTGAGAGTCAATCAGTTTTTATTTCATCTTCTCTGTAATAAGTAAACTGGTATACAACAGAAGAGTAGTGGGACTAATGTTTGTTTGGGTTGGAAAATAAGTTCTCCAGTTGAGTGCAAATATTTATTCTTAGATCTTTCAAATTTATTTGATATCGATGGGCTTATAAAATTTGGGTTTGAAGCCCAGTTATTTGGATTGCATGTGGCCACAAAGAGTGTTTCTTGGGTGTCAGCGCACTGTCAAGTTTCAAGCCATTTCTTATCTGGTCTAGCCCACATCTGTGTTGGTGTGTATTATATCTCTTATTCTTGACTTCCGACTTGAATATAGTTAGTTACCCTCAAACATAAACTTAATCATAAAGTTTTACTTCATTTTTAATTTGTCAATCCCATCAATTACTATATATAAATAATTCAACAAAAGGACCAATTTTTACTATATATTATGTTTTAAAGTTTTATATTATTTAACCAATTGACAATATATTAAGGTGAATAAACTTTCTTTTATTTAAAGACTGGAGATACTTTCCTTCTAATTATATGAAATATATTTGTACCACCACTTAGAATAACAACCTCTCAAGAGTCATCTAGTTATACCCCTTGTATTGATATCAGACTTTATACAACCATGTACAGAGGAGGTTTACGCCTTGTGCCTTTTACCCTTTAAGCGCCAACTGCAGGGGAACAAAAATACTCCTTGCAGTAACTGCCTGGTATAGCCTTGGCAAGCCCACACCCTCCGCATTTACACACTTTTCCCATCCATTACCGAGGCTAGTATAACTTCGATCCCTTCATAGATCATAAAGGGGCAAAACCAGATACATTTACCAATCAAAAACCAGAATAACAGAACAAAAATTGCTTGATACTAGCCAGCCTTTCAAAGGCACAAAGTTAAACATACCCGTCGCTATCCATTCAACCCGTGGAGCACCCTTACAGACCTCATTACTATTAATTAATTCTGCTCTATTTGATTGGGAGAATGATGTGTGGAACAAATTCATAAAGGACCTCAATTATATGGTCCTTTGCCGACATGAAGAGGATAAGCTTGTGTGGACTCATAGTTCCTCTAGTATCTGTTCTAAATTTTTCCTCAATTGTTTTGGAATCAATTAGAATCTCCCTCAACCAATTGAAAGTCTAATTGGGAGATTTGCACCTCTTAAAGTAGCAAGCTTTTATTGGCTTGCTTTAAAAGGTCAAAATTGGCCGTCATTGATGGGTTACACAATAGTTTTTTATTTTTATTTTTATTTTTTTTGTGAAAAGTGAGTTTGCAGATATCATTAAACAGACTTACAAATGCTGCCACAGCCTTTGCTCTGTTTTCAATGACCAAAACAATGCAGCCCTCCAGTATCAGCTCAAAATATGTGGATAAGATTGCTTACGGAAAGACAATCAGGGTTAGACCTTGCATCTTGAAAATCTGTCACAATCAAACCCACTAAGACAACTGTACAAGAAGACATCACCCAGTTGGGGTTACACAAAAAAAGTTGCTTACTCAATGTCAAAAATTCCTGCTCTCAGTGCGGAGGGAGCCCTGAATCAGTAAGCCATATTGTCTGAGCAAAAAAACTCAATAAGCAATATCTTTCTTACATGTCGTTTTGCTTGGAGAATTTGGTCAGCCTGTTTAATTTGATAGGGTTGTTCTTGTGTCTTGCCCAATGATCTTTCATCTCTACTCTCGCTTTGGCTGGATATCATTGTGTCTGATTCAGAAATTGTTGTGTGGATGATGACTTTTTTTGCAACTATTTGGTCCTTGTGATTTTGCCAGGAATGATTTAAAATTTAGATGAACACAAATTTGTGATAGGATTAAAACAAGAATTGGGTGGTGGTTCAAGGCAAAATGGAATGATTTTCTTACAGATATTGCTGACATCTATCATTGTCATCCTTCTGCTAAATGTGTGTTAAGACTTTGTCCTGGCCTCCTCCTCTGCCTTCATTGGTTCAGTTCAATGGTTATCCCTTGGGAAACCGTGGACCAGGAGCGAGGGGGGTCTTCGTGGTACTAAAGGTTTCGTGTTATTTTTTTTTTTCTCTTTTGGAATATTGAGGTACATTGAACTGCAACGAAATAAAAGAGTGGACATGGTTAAGTACTATAAAAGTAGATATGTCTAACGACGCTTCTTTAATATTTGTGGCTCTCATAGCCCCATCTTTTGCACGTGAATTCATTGTATCCAACCACCGATCGCCAACGACGAAATTAATAGGTAGAGATAGACTATTTTTTTTTAAAAAAATAAATAGTTAAAGAAAATTTTATACATAATTTAATTATTATTTATTTAAAAAATTAAATAAAATTCAAAAAATATTAAACATAAAAAAATGTATACTAATAGTAATGATAGTGTTATATATATATATATATATATATATATATATATATGAGACTGAATGAAACTATATAAATAATCTCTTTTCATTCTGTACACATAAAAGTGAAAGAGAAAATAATTTTTTAAATTTAAATAAATTGTCATTTTATTTTATGTGTCTTAACTCTCTTTTTATTTTTTATTTACTTTTTAAGTTGCTAATAAACATTTTGGGTTAACACATTGGGTTATTTGATTAAACAATTAAGATATAATATGTTATGATAAGTTATGAGATTTTTTTTATTTTTATAATTAGGGAAGAGGAGATTGAAACTTTATTCTTTAAGCAGGGTATCATGTACCAATCAATGAGCTAAATGACCTTTTTTGTAACTATTTGGTCCTTGTTACTTTGCCAGGAATGATTTAAAATTTAGATGAACAAAAATTTGTGATATAATTAAAAGAAGAATTGGGTGGTGGTTCAGTTGGTATATGCCCTTGAGCCAATTAAATTGGTAAAGAAATATATATTATCATTTAATACATATTTAATCACATAATTATCTGTGATAGAGGTTTTCTTTCATGTTAGTACAATAATAAGAGCTATTAAGTACTAATTAGATGAAGCCCATGAAACATAAAAGTTTTGAAAGAGAATTGTAAAATTGTTACAATTATGATATCACTATGCATCTAAGTCATGTTCTTAAAATTATTCTTTGTCATTGTATTGTCAAAACAGGATATTAACAATGCTCAAAGACCAGTACATATTAAGTCTCCTTACTTAAAAAGTAAGTAATCGATCTCATAAACTGAAGTATATGGGATACTTGAGGATAACATGTAAGTATTTGTTAAGGAACAAGTTTATTGAACATGACCAACTATGAGAACTCCATTTAATATTTTACTCAAGTGTCTATACAAAATGTTCTCATGTGATAGTAGTGTAACTAGTCCTTAGACTTGAGATACCAAGTCATCCTATATAAGGAATGACATATTTTGATTTCACTTTTATGAGTTTGGAAGCAACCAAATCCCTAAATAAAGGGTTTTTAGATATGCTATAAAGCAAGTGAAGGTGAATGAGTAGTCAAGAAATAATTCATCACCCCAAGTGATATGAGGGGATGTATCTCACTTGTTCTCAATTCAGTTCAATGATTATCCCTTGAGAAATCGTGGACCAGGAGCGAGGGGGGTCTTCGTGGTACTAAAGGTTTTGTGTTATTTTTTTTTTCTCTTTTGGAATATTGAGGTACATTGAACTGTAACAAAATAAAAGAGTGGACATGGTTAAGTACTATAAAAGTAGATATGTCTATCGACGCTTCTTTAATATTTGTGGCTCTCATACCCCCATCTTTTGCACGTGAATTCATTGTAGCCAACCACCGACGACCAATTTTGAAATTAATAAGTAAAGACGGAGTTAGAGTATTTTTTAAAAAAATTAAATAAAAATATTAAATAGTTAAATAAAATTATATATATAATTTAATTATTATTTATTTAAAAAATATATATATTAATAGTAATAATGATATCACACACATATATATATATAACTGACTTTCACTCTTTACCCATAAGAGTGAAAGAAAAAATAATTTTTCAAATTTAAATGAATTATCTTTTTAATTTGTATGTCATAATTCTCTTTTTATTTTTTATTTATCTCTTAAGTTGCTAACTAACATATTAGATTAACATATTGAGTTATTTGATTGAATTATTCAGATACAATATTATATGATAAGTTATTAGTTTTTTTTTTTATAATTGGATGAGGGAGGATTTGAATTTATTCTTTAAGTAGGAGGATCATGCACCAACCAATGAGTTAAAAGACTTTTTTTTTTAACTATTTGGTTCTTGTGACTTTGCTAGGAATGATTTAAAATTTAGATGAACAAAAATTTATGATATGATTAAAACAAGAATTGGGTGGTGGTTCAAGGCAAAATGGAATGATTTTCTTATAGTGTTATAATTAAAATAATAATAATTAAAAAATATTAATATTAAAATATAAAAGAAAATGTTTCTATCATTTCAAGTAATATCTAAATATTCACATATAAATTATTTTTTGATAAATAAAAATATTAATATTTAAATTATAAAAGAAAATATTTTTATTATTTTAAGTAATATCTAAATATTAATATATAAAATACTTTTTAATAAATAAACATATTAGTATTTAAATTATAGAAGAATTTTTTTTGACTTTTCAAGTAATATCTAATTATTGCTATATAAATTATTTTTTAATAAATTTACTTTGGCAAGCTTGGTCCAATTTGGATCGGGTTAAGTTAGATATGATTTTTAAGTTCCGATTGAACTTTAGAATATTATTTATATTAATTTAAAATATATTTAATATTAAAATAAAAAATATTTTTTTTTAATATTTGAACGATAAACTTAATTTAAATGGACAAATCAAACTCAATTTTAATATTTTAATATTTCAATCCCTTTCTCCATTCATTCACGATGAAACTCAACAACAACCGGATTAGACAGCTCATGGAAAAATGCAAACAGAAAATGAGAAAGAACACGACTTGTTTACTGTAAACATGACTTCCACCAACACTTTCTAAGCACTCAACGCTTGGTATTCTCTCCTTCACATAGTTGGATTTCGTGTAATGGCAACTCCATCCACTTCCCTCACCTTTACTGTCCGAAGATGCGAACCCGAGCTAGTTGCTCCGGCCAAGCCCACGCCACAAGAATACAAACTATTATCCGACATCGATGATCAAGAGAGTCTCCGCTTTCAAATTCCCATTATCCAATGTTATCG